CAGCTGGGGGGGGCACGTGTGTCTCCAGTTTAACTCTGAACTGACCACAGGTGTGAACGTTAGTGTGAATGGTTGAAACACCATGTGACGAACCAGCAGAACGGTCACTGGTCACTGGTCACTGGTACCTTTGGTCTGATGAGACAGTAGACGATGAGGACGAACAGGAGTCCAACACTGACGGAGACGAGGACGAGTCCTGGTGTGTACAGGTTTTTGACTGGTCTTCTCTGAGACGCCTTCGCCGACTTCCTGTCATAACTGTCTATAGAAAGACAAGAGAAGAAGTGGGTGAACTCACCGACTGACCTGAGGTCAGAGCAGTCACATGGTCTGACCTGAGGTCAGGGCAGTCACATGGTCTGACCTGAGGTCAGGACAGTCACATGGTCTCAGCCACACCTGTCAAATACTCTGGGGTCTCTGTGTAGAACTCTGTGGTGGAACTGAATGGTTCCGTGTACTCGTGCTGACATCTCCAGTCCACTGGTGCGCTGCTGGTACTGACCAGCTCCCAGTAAACGGACAGCACCTCTGCCGCTCTCTGCAGCGCCTCTGCTGGAGACCCCCGGTAGAGCGTCTCAAAACTCTCGGGCTTATCCTGCAACAGGAGAGAGCTCAGATATGTTGACAGGTTCTGGTCGCGTTAAATACACAGTAAATATATAGAACAGAACTCTGTATATATAGACAGAAACGGTCCGGAACATTCTCCAAATAACCTTGAGGTTAGGAGGTGGGGGGGAGATGAGGGGGGGGGCTGGTCTCTTCTTCTCTGCTCTTTTATTTGGAGTTCAGTTTTGAATATTTCTGTGGACCAGTATCTGTCCCACAAACGGACCAGATTTGTCCTGTCGTCTCATCCAACCAGTGCTGATTGGACGTTGTCCCTGACAGATCACGCGAGCCTCGGTTTTATCCACATAAACATTTCCCGTGTCACTGGGCTTCAAACGCACGACAGAAAAAAAGTGGAACTCACCTCGACCTCCTCGTTGATCTGGGGAACGCACTTCTGAGAATAAATGTTGAGAACCAGCGCTCGGATGGACTGAACGTAGCCGTAGTTGACTGAACGGCGGTTGTATCTGAAGTGTGTGCTGAGCAGCTCCAGGATCCAGGGCAGGGCGGCTTTGACGAAGCAGCACTTGCTCTGGGG